TTGTCTATATTATTTATAGAGTATAATTGTTCCCAGGATTCTTGTTTGACATTTGATATTAGTTTTGAATTGTCGACAAAAAATTTGTAATTTTCCTGGTTGTTACTAACGGTAGGGATGTTAGAATGTTTTTCATTTGAAGATATCAGTAAAATAGTGGAGAAGTGGTCAGTAATATCGCTTTCTAGGATTATTGGTATACAAGTAATTTTGTTGGATAGGTCTTTCACAAAGCAGTGATCTATACATGTGCCACCGATGGACCTTGTAGGTAGGTTTATATAGGACAGAAATCCGTTACTTGATAGGATATTCAAGTATTCAGTTGTGATGGGATCATCGTCCAAAATATTTATATTGACATCTCCCAAGAAAATATGTTGCTTTAAATGAACTTTATTTTGATTTTGAAAAAAAAATTCGATATTCTTTAAAAACTCGTGGGGTTCTGAACATGGCGGACGATAAATTGCAGATACCTCAATTTTGTTATGGTTAATTTGGATCATTATGTTATATATATGATAAAATAGACGTTACCGATCCACATTTCTAGATGTTATGAGAAAAATTTTGTATACTTTCAATTTAGTAATTGCTGTTTTCTTTCTTTCCAGGTTATTTCGGAAAATACCTGAACAAGTACAACGGTTCCTACATCCCTCCAGGCTGGCGGGAATGGGGCGGTCTCATAATGAACTCCAAGTACTACAACTATTCAATAAATATGAATGGAAAGAAGATAAAACACGGTTTCGACTATCACAAGGTAAGCTAATTTATAAAAGACCAATTTCCCAAAGTTTGTCATTTATTTCAGATAAGCTCTCGTCCTGAAATGGAACTTTATCTCCACCGATATCTAGTTGAAATTAAGAGAAAGTGTACCTTCTGTTACAGACCAACAAATACAAGAATAATTCAAGTTATTACAAATACCAAAAATCAATAGGCGAGGACTTGAAATACCATGTATTCAGCGTTACGACACTACACTTAATTCCTAATACCAGGGCTTCTCACCCTTACGTTTTTGTACACACTTGATACAATATAAACTAAGCAGATGCCTTCCAAGCATTCAAATAAAATGACCATGATCGTTAACATTCATTATATAACAATATCACTTCTGACTTCCACATTATGTTTATAAACGTATTATCACATTCAAATGGTGGCATTTAAATTGGAAGAGGCCTTCACGTGGAAGCACAATTTCGCAATATACATCCCTCAACGAAGAGCCACGCTTTGATTATTTATGTACAAGCATACCAAATAAATAAAAAGACCTGCCGCTCCCCGTTTTGCATTGTGCATTTTATTATTTCATCGCATCAAGAGAGTTGAATCGAGGAAACAAATGAGTCCCAGAGCGGAAAATTGCGTTCCTGAAGACGCCGCAGTTACGCTCGCCATCTCTCCGGAGGAATATCAACAAAAGAACAACGCATATTTTATTCACAGGAGGCCATGACCAAATACCGGCAGCTGTTTGCTTAGAATATGCAATATGTGCTTTGTCAGCTTTATATTTTCGAATCGGTTTAATTAAGATATTCGTCATCTGTTTTTTATAGGATACACCTGAAGAACAATTCATAGAAACGACTTTCCTAGAAATGTTATTGTCGCGATTTTTTATACTGATCCTCTTGCGAGTGCAAAATACATAACTACTATAGGACAAGAATCATGCTGACATTAGACGTGGTTAGTAGAAGTAGGTTTAACTACGGATACTTTTTTCTTTGGACTGCCTTGAACATCCTCGTATCTCTAGGTAAATCCTGAAAATATTAACATTCCTTGGAACCCTGGGCTATAATCGGTTGAAGAAGTTTCTTAAATCTTCTTTGATTGCCTTAAAATACCTGGAATCCCTCCAATCTCATTGATCTCGGATGTCCTTAAACTGTCTTGAAATTTTTTAGATCTTCTTGGATTGCCTTAAAAATCTCTCAAATCTCATTCACCTCAGATGTCTTCAGAATGGCTTGAAATTCTTTAGATCTTGGAATGCTTTAAGATTCTTCGAATCGCATGGATCTCAAACGTCCTTGGATTGCCTTGAAATTCTTTAGATCTTGGATTGCCTTAAATTCCCTCGGATGTCGTTAATCTCAGATTTCCTCGGATTGCCTTGAAATTCCTTAGATCTTGAATTGCCTTTAAATCCCTCGAATGTCATTGATCTCAAATGTCTTTGGATTGCTTTTGAATTCCTGAAGTCCTCTTGGATTGCCTTGAAATTTCTCAGGTCATATCGGACTGTCTTAAAATCCCTCGAATCTCATTGATCTCAGATTTCTTCGGATTGCATTGAAATTCCTGTGATCTTGGATTGCCTTTAAATCCCTCTAATCTCATTGATCTCAGATGTCCTTGGATTACCTTTAAATTTCTTAAGTCATCTTGGATTGCCTTAAAATCCCTCGGATGTCATTGATCTCAGATTTCCTCGGATTGCCTTTAAATCCCTCGAATGTCATTGATCTCAAATGTCTTTGGATTGCTTTGGAATTGCTGAAGTCCTCTTGGATTGCCTTGAAATTTCTTAGACCTTCTTGGATTGCCTTAAAATTTCTCAGGTCATATCGGACTGTCTTAAAATCCCTCGAATCTCATTGATCTCAGATTTCTTCGGATTGCATTGAAATTCCTGAGATCTGGGATTGCCTTTAAATCCCTCTAATCTCATTGATCTCAGATGTCCTTAAACTGCCTTGACATTTTTTAGATCTTCTTGGATTGCCTTAAAAATCTCTCAAATCTCATTCACCTCAGATGTCTTCAGAATGCCTTGAAATTCTTTAGATCTTGGAATGCTTTAAAATTCTTCGAATCGCATGGATTTCAAACGTCCTTGGATTGCCTTGAAATTCTTTAGATCTTGGATTGCCTTAAATTCCCTCGGATGTCGTTGATCTCAGATTTCCTCGGAATGCCTTGAAATTCCTTAGATCTTGAATTGCCTTTAAATCCCTCGAATGTCAGTGCTCTCAAATGTCTTTGGATTGCTTTGGAATTGCTGAAGTCCTCTTGGATTGCCTTGAAATTTCTTAGACCTTCTTGGATTGCCTTAAAATTTCTCAGGTCATGTCGGACTGTCTTAAAATCCCTCGAATCTCATTGATCTTAGATTTCTTCGGATTGCATTGAAATTCCTGAGATCTTGGATGGCCTTTAAATCCCTCTAATCTCATTGATATCAGGTGTCCTTGGATTACCTTTAAATTTCTTAAGTCATCTTGGATTGCCTTAAACTCCCTCGGATGTCATTGATCTCAGATTTCCTCGGATTGCCTTTAAATCCCTCGAATGTCGTTGATCTCAAATGTCTTTGGATTGCTTTGGAATTCCTGAGGTCCTCTTGGATTGCTTTGAAATTCCTTGGTCCCTCTTGGATTGCCTTCAAATTCCTCAAGTCATCTCGGACTGTCTTAAAATCCCTCGAATCTCATTGATCTCGGATTTCGTCGGATTGCATTGAAATTCCTTAGATCTTTGATTGCCTTTAAATCCCTCGAATGCCATTGATCTCAAATGTCTTTGGATTCCTTTGGAATTCCTGAGGTCCTCTTGGACTGCCTTGTAATTTCTTAGACCTTCTTGGATTGCCTTAAAATCCCTCTAATCTCATTGATCTCAGATGTCCTTGGATTGCCTTGGAATTCATTAGGTCATCTTGGATTGCCTTAAAATCACTTGAATTTCATTGATCTCATTGATGTCCTTGGATTACCCTTAAACTTGTCGGGTCATCTTGGATAGCCTTAAAATCCCTCTAATCTCATTGATCTCAGATATCTTTGGATTGCCTTGGAATTCATTAGGTCATCTTGGATTGCCTTAAAATCCCTTGAATTTCATTGATCTCATTGATGTCCTTGGATTACCTTTAAACTTCTTGGGTCATCTTGGATTGCCTTAAAATCCCTCAAATCGCATTGTTCTGAGATGTCCTTGAATTGCATTGAAATTCTTTAAATCTTCTTGGATTGCCTGAAAGTCGCTCGAATAGCATTGATCTCAGATGTCTTTGGATTGCCTTGACATACTTCAGATCTTCTTGGACTGTTTTGAAATCGCTAAATTTCCTTGTTCTCGAATGTCTTTGTATTCCCTTGAAATTCCTTAGGTCTTCTTGGATTGCCTTAAAGTCTCTCTAATGTGATTGATATCAAATGCCATTAGATTGCCTTGAAATTTCTTATATCACCTTGGATTGTCTTAAAGTCCCTCGAAAGTCATTGATCGCAGATGTCCTTGGACTGCCTTGAAATGCCTTAACTGTTCGTGGATTGCCTTAAAGTCCCTCAAACGTCATTGATCTCAGATGTCCTTGGATTGCCTTGAAATTGTTCAGATCTTCTTGGATTGCCTTGAAATCGCTAAATTTACTAATCTCGAATGTCTTTGTATTGCCTTGAAATTCCTTAGGTCTTCTTGGATTGCCTTAAGGTCCCTCGAATGTCATTGATCGCAGATGTCCTTGGACTGCCTTGAAATGCCTTAAATCTTCTTGGAAAGTCCCTCAAACGTCATTGATCTATTTCGATAACCTTGAAATTCCTTGTATCTTGGATTGCCTTAAAATCCATCGAATCTCATTGACCTCAGATGTCCTTGAATTGCCTTGAAATTCAAAATAGTCCATTAGTTTCTTCTTTATAGCATTTCATAGCCGATTCCAAATCCTAATTTTAAATAATCCACCCTATATTGCCTCGGGTCTCTTCCCCCTGAGATAGAAAAACATCAAGGTAGAAGTCAAATGAGATCATCTTTCTAACTATCCAGAACTTATTAGTACTGTATATTGAAAACGTTAAACTGCATAGAATTCCTGCGTCCCCGGACAGTAAAAGAAACCTTATGCGCCAAAAAAGTGTCGCTACATATCACTGCAAGAAATGGATCTAAAGGAAGTGATGCAACTACCATAGTTACAGTAAATATTTCCTGCGTAGTCGCAGAAGTGTTGCTGAAAAAAAATGGTACCATGTTTGGAATGTGGTAATGGTCACACAGCCGAGAACTTTTCTCATGCCTGTTGCGTTCAGAAAAGAATTCAGGACATCAATACATGGCTACGGACGATGCGAAGTATGTTTCTGTAAATGGAAATGTCAGAAGAAACTTGCAATTCGATAACATCTCAACTATTGGAAATCGGTGGAAAAATCAGCAAGTCTGTTGCACAGAAAAACGTTAGCTTTCCAACATTGCCAATTAGATATGTTTATTTTCTGTTTTTGTCAAATAGAAAATCATATGAGCAAAATTATGCATCCCAAGGTAAAAGTAGAACGTTTTTTTTTATGGCACTAGGACTATGTCCCATTAACCAGATCCTTTTTTACAATCTAAACTTCTCTAACTAAGTAAGAATGGAATTGGACAGGGATACACTCTTCTCGCCTAAGGACCCATTAAGGCATTTTCAGAATATGACACACAACAATTAGGCCACGGTTAGGTAGGTAAATTACAGAGGATAGTTACACAGAGCATATCTAGCTTATCAAAACTAAAAGTTTAACCCAGAGGTTTTCAAAAAGTCAATTATCAGACAAGTAACATCAAGTCTATTCAAAGCTAGAATGTGGAGAACATTAAATTGTGAGATAAGGCCTAAGCCAATCAGATTAAGATAGAGTCGATCACAGTATGGAGATAACTTCAAACAGCCAAAAAATAGATGATCCAAGTTCCCCTCAATGTTGCAGTGTTCACATAATAATACGGAATCTAGTTAGATGTGTTGGATAGCCTCCATGCCCAAGTTTTGCTCTAATAATCATAGATATGTATACTAAGTGACATATAAATCCGAACACCCAGTTTAAATGGTTTTATTTTAATAAAAGTTGGTGAATGTATTTATCTTACTGTAAATAACAAGTGAAAAATTTTCAGCCTTATAAGTTGGACATTCCGGTTTTTATACTGCTTTTTTTTAATTCACTAACGCTCTAAAAATGAATATTTCAGCCGCAGTAAAGACTCAACGTTGGCGGATTTTGGTTCTTGACATCCTTTACGATCGGTTACGATGCCTAGAGTACGGAGACCTGTACGATTTCGTCAACTTAGTGAGTTTGATAGGGGCCGTATAGTGGGACTTCTGGAAGCTGGACTTTCTTTTCGGTCAATTGCAGTTAGAGTGCAAAGAAGTGTAGACACTGTGGTTAGGTGTTGTCAGGCATGGCTTCGAGAAGGCCGTACGCAAAGAGCAAGGGGCACTGGACGCCGCCGTAGAACAACAGATCGTGAAGATCGCCGCCTAAGATTATTGGCCTTAAGGGACCGTTTCTCCACTACCAGGTCCATTGCAAAATGAATGGTTTGCAGAACACGGAAGACCTATTGGCATGCGAAGTGTTTACCGACGAATGAGAAGTTTTGGCTTGTTTTCATACCGGCCACACTGGGTCCTCCCTTTAACTCGAGAACACCGACGTAATCGCCTTGAGTGGTGCAGACAACGGCCACTCTGGGATCAGGAATGGAACAGTATTGTCTTCAGTGACGAGTCTCGATTTTGTTTAGGCATGCACGATGGTCGTGCCAGGGTTAGAAGGCGACGTGGTGAAAGGAGGAATCCACAGTTTTTTGTTGAAAGACATGTTCATCACACTGTTGGAGTTATGGTTTGGGGTGCTATAGCTTATGGTTCCAGGTCACCTTTAATCTTCATCAGAGGTAACATGAACGCGCAGCGTTATATCCACGAAGTTCAAGAACCCCATCTTTTACCCTATCTTGACACCCTGGCAGATCCAACTTTCCAACAAGATAATGCCCGACCACATGTTGCAAGAGTCACAATAGACTTCTTTCAACATAATGATGTCACATTGTTACCATGGCCACCAAGATCTCCCGACTTATCCCCAATTGAGCACGTGTGGGATATGATGGGTAGGAGATTGCTCAATTTGCAACGTCCTCCTCAGACTCTAGAAGCACTTCGAGAGGAGTTGGTGGTTGCCTGGAATGAGATACCACGGGAGGACATTGACCACCTGATCAGAAGCATGCCTAGGCGCGTTGGAGAATGCGTAGCACATCAGGGTGCATCCACACATTATTAAAGGTCAAAGGGCTTTAAAGCAGTGCAATCATTTTGAAATTTTTATCATTTACTTATTATGCTTCATTAAGTACTTATACAACATTTCATTAAAATAAAACCATTTAAACTGGGTGTTCGGATTTATATGTCACTTAGTATATTTACGAGGAATTCTAAAATTTTTTTGCCAGTACGTTGTTGGGATATCAGGACGTATTAAAGTATACCTCGTTGGGTTCGTAAAGCAGAATTCCTTCCATTCTAACGTCCAGCTTTTAAATAGGATTTGTTTGGATAAAATATTATAATCTTTGGAAATTTGTGTCTGTAATACAGATCCTGTGTAGATGCTTGCTTTTGCGAGTTGGTCAACTTTTTCGTTGAATACGATTCCACAGTGTGCCTTGACCCATACAAATGCAACCTTGCTTCCACTTTCTTTCAAGTGGCAGATCCTATGTTTTATTTAAGTAGTACGTTATTTCCGTTGAAAATTAAACATATGCCGTATTGATTAAATTTGTTGCTGTAGCAGCTGACGAGACGTGTTGGATCCAAATTACCCTCGGTAATTGCAACCTCAAAGTCCGAACAAACGACTTTTGGGTAAAGATGCAGGCGGATGTCACATGATCAGATATTTATTGACCTTGTAATCTGGACGTCAGTAGTTATTGATAAGGTTACGTAAAAATCCACTGAAACTGAAAAAATCTTGATGGCATGCATCACAATAAACCCGGTCGTGTGACATTAGCAATAGGGTACTTTATATTTGACTACCCATGAGAGGCTTTACCCGAAAAAGCAACAGATCTATAACTACTCTTCTCTACCTTAAATCTATTTTCCCTTTCAACGTAGAAATAGCCTAAATTAAGTCGGAAGAAGTCATAGACTCGGAAACTCTGCATGCTGAGAATTTTACTGCCATGGCAAAAGCACTGTAATTGAACTTGGAGCAGTGCAGAGCGTAACTCGCAAAGTAAAACAAAAATTTTAATTAGCCTGCCAGTATTCCATTGGCTCCTTAATTAAAGTATTAATTATAAATAAACTGTTCGCTAAAAATAACATGTGCGGATATTTATCTCAAGTCTGCATCATAAATTTTTATTGGCCATACACTCGTTCACGATTGAAACTGTATAGACCGAGACAGAGAAATATACAGGGTGCTCGTTAATGATATGCGAATATTTAAGGGCGTGAATCCACACGAAAAAATTAATGTTAGTTTGCTTTATAAACTATGGTGCAAAAAAGTTTCCTTACAAAAACTCGGGGTGTTGAAGTTTTAGGAAAAAATTGAAATTAATGAATATTTTCAAAACCGCTTCAGATATTTCACTGATATTTAGTGCGTAGTGAAAGTTGATAAAGTTGCATATTTTTCAATGCAAAAATAATTTTTAGCTTCAATAGTGGCGTGGGTACCGGTATTGACTTTGATATTTTTTATGAAAAAAATAGTACGCCAATGGTTTTTTGACAAATAAAAATTATTTTTGCATTTCCTGTTCAGTTTAAAACAAATGATCTCTCTTGAGTTGCTTTCCTTCGATGCGCCGTTTTTGAGAAAAAAAAACCGTTCTATTGTCTCTTCAAAACGAACAAAACCGACAAGACGGATGACTTCCCACCTCTTCCAAAAGCAAAATCAAAATTCAAGTTGACAGTCGCCTCAAAACCTTCTGCTTCATTAAACGTATCAACTTCTTCTGCAACTTGTCCCATGACGGTCGATGCAGCGACCACATCTTCTCAATCTTTGGCCACTGCATCGACTGACGGTGCATTATCTCAACAATCTCACATTGTTGGTGAGTTGACCGGCTCAGCACCCCGCCAGGGACGAATCACGCCCATTGTTTTGCGTGATGCGACCAAGTGGCGACATCTAAACTACACCTTATAAGCTTAGGCATTAGGATAGAACGCGCAGTTGCCGTTGTTGCGGGAATCAGGATTTTGCCGAAAACTGAGGATGACTACCGAAGAATCGTTCGCCTGTTCAGGGAGAAGGACGTGCCCCATCATACGTTCCCTCTTCCTTCAGAACGAAATATTCACGCGGTAGTCAGAGGCATACCCGCAATGTTTTCGGAACTGGAGATCAAACGGGAATTAGAACAGAGGGGATATACTCCTCTCCACGTTATCCGACTCAAACGCAGTGGCGGCGCACCCATGCCTTTGGTGGTCGTGATACTGCCCAAGATTGAAAAGCTGCTGGGTCTAGCGATCAGAGTTGAAGTTCAAAAGAACTCTAGACTTATTGGGCAGTGTCACCGCTGCCAAAGGTATGGCCATGCGCAGTCTTACTGCACAGCACCTCCCAAATGTTTAAAATGTGGTTCCGACCACATGACACATTTATGCCCCCTCACAGGTCAAGAGGAGCGAAAGTGTACGAACTGTGGAGGGGCGCATCCCGCTAACAGTCCCACTTGCAGATTCACCCCCAGGCGAAATCTGGAAGTCATAGCGCAAAGACGCAGCAAGTCATACGCGGAAGCAGCCCTCTCAACATCAACACGCAGAATGTGGACCTAGCAACTGCGCTTAGGTCCCTTCAAAAAATAATAAGTCCCCTGATTAGCGCCACTCAGGCATTGCAGGCGATCTTTCCGCAGCCATTGAATGGCTAAGTACAACAGACAACCTGCATTTGTCATCTGTCAGGTATCTTGGAGTCATCATTGACAAGGGTTTGACCTGGCAGAAACATACTGATATTTTGAAAACAAAATTTCAAATTACCTTTCGGCAGCTGTATCCTCTGTTGGGCAGAAATTCAAGATTAAGTTTGATCAACAAGATTCGGTTGTATAAAATGGTCAAAGACCCAAAATCACCTACGCATGCGCGGCTTGTTGTGTTCATGACAAGACGCCCATGCAGAGACTGCAAGTCCTGCAAAACAGAACCCTACCCACATTACTAACGCCCCTTGGTAGACTATTCACAGAGATCTTGATATCCTATATTTAAGGGATTATAATCAAGCGGAATCGCACAGCAACCCTCTGTTGCGTGATTCAGTAGACTACAAAGTCGAGCAAGTTCGCAAACATTCCAGGCCGCGCCTCGCACTGTGATCAAAATTAAATTGTAAATTCAGGCCAGCCAAAATTATTTCAGTATACAAAACCGATCAAAATCATTTTTTGGAGTTACAAAATAATTCGAGTAATCAAAGCAATAATGCTTAAGCTATTTAAAATGATTTACTTCTTTTCTTTGCTCTATTTCTTCCTTCCTTCTTTCCCGTTTCCCCTTAAACATGTTTGGTATCTGGGTAGCCAGACCTGACAGACTAACGCACCGACGAGACTTTTAATTAAGAGCAAAGGTCCACCGGACCGCTCTGACGAATAGTGACGAATAGTAGTACCATTGGTCAGTTGGTGCGGAAATTTGAACAAAAAAGGTGAAGTTAGAGACTTGCCAAGGTCGGGGCGTGTTCGAACTGTTCGTATTCCGGAAAATATCGAGTGAATTCGTGTTAGTGTAAGGGAGCGCCCTGAGACGTCTACCAGACATCGTTCTCAAGAACTGGGCATTCGTCGCACGTCATTATGCACTATTTTGAAAAAGACTTGCATTTGCGGCCATACAAAATTCAATTAACCCAAGAACTACAGTCTAATGACTATGAATGTCATGCAATATTGCAGCTTAATACCCAAAATAACGATTTTTACCGACAACTGATAATCAGCGATGAAACCCACTTCGATGTGAAGGTATTTGTTAATAAGCACAATTGAGGGGCCTGGAAGTAAATGGGTTTAAGTACATTTTTGAATTTGAAAATTCCAGAAATAAATTTATTAAAGTGCAACTACCGTACTAAACCAAACATTATTTAAAAATAATCTATAACAAAATTTCTTATTCATAATCAGAATCTAATATTTGGATGTCTTCATCATTTCTTCATCTGAATCAGCTGGTCTTGGTTGGGGTTCATCTATATCAGGTACTTTTTGGCTTGATGTCAGGGTCTGTGTTTGTTTCTTTTTTCCTTTTTTTGTTAATGCTTACCTATCGTGCTTCATGTTTTTATAAAATGTATGGTGAATGGGCGGAATGTATTCCAAGCTAGCTAAGCAAGTTTTTGTACTTGGCGACTTTAATCTTTATTGAAGTGCCACTCAAAGGCTTTAGTATTGAAAAGTTAAAACACGGACGCCCAACTTTTGAGGTTACCATTAAGCAACTGCTAAACTCTACATCAATGTTTAGAGTACTCTTGTATCGAAATGTTAGTTTTTCACTTTTATAGTAAGCAAACCAGCAAATTTCTTTCCAATTTAAGGGGTAACCGTCACTATCGTTCATAATTTCATTGAACGGCGAAAAAGAGAAAAAATCGTCTTTGTTCATATTGTACACAATAAATTTGGCCGATATGCCTCTTATTACAGTCTCCCAATCTGCGGGGACAAAAACTTGAGGGATTTGCCTTTTTTCTTCTCGATTAAGCCAAAACTACGGTCACATTCCATGTAAGTGTGCCCGGGTTCAAGGAACTTGTGATGAATCTAAGATATATGTGTAGCTTGAACAATAAAACTAAATAGTTTAGCAATGTTTTTATTCTTATTTTGTCCTCCACACGAATCACTGTATGCAATAATCTTCGTAACTGTAGATGGAAGGCTTTGCACAAATTTTATTAAACATGATCCTATCTCCTGTGAGCCCCTGGATGCAATAGTTTCGTTCCATACATACATATAACTTTTTCCAGTCAGTAAGTCAAAGACACAGAAATTATACGTCCATAATAATTAACGAAGATAAAATACTTTAGAGGTGGTTAACAATGGCGCTGGCAATGCCTGTTGCAAATCAAAACAAATTACAGCCGTATTTTTAGAATCATTTTTATTTTCTGCAATATCAGCTTTTTGGCATCTGTTGCTTTCTGGGCCTTTCTTTGGTGCAGCTCGAGGTCTTGCTTGGCATTTTTAATCACGTCTTCATTTGTAGAATATTTTATTAAATTTTGTAAATTGTCGCAACGACTGCAGGTATCACTATAGGGCTTGTGGAATCTTAAATTGAATTCCGTATTGAAAATATGCCTGTAATAGGACTCTTTTACTGGTAATTCTTATTTGTCAATACAAAACTCCTGATATAATTTGTACATCTTATTGATACTTAATTCTCCTGAAAGATACCTTGCGTTCCCAATCAGTACTCATTTTGTTTATTATTATAACAGTACCAACACTGCAAAATGCGTATTTTTAACTAAGAATAAGTAAAACGTTGAAATTACGTCACACGTAAAACATTAAAAATAGTTGCCAAAGCCTTAGAAGTAAAATGGTTCAAGTGCACTTGAATCATTTTACCATACACTGTATTAGTGGATATTTTGATATGTTTTCAAAGACTATGAGAGATGGCGCCAGGGAACGTTGCCTGCATTTAAATCATTTTACCACCAAGTTAGGATATGCTGTAGGTATGATATTCTGCACTTAGACCATTTAATTAAAAAAGTGCACTTGAACCTTTTTACTTCCAAACCCCTCAATTGTCGTATCTGGCCTCGTGTCATCCATCAACGATCACTACATCCTCGTCGAGTTACGGTTTGGTATGGAGGTGTCACTGGACCTTACTTATTTGAAGACGACGCTGGTAATCCTCTTATTGTCACTTGCGAGCGCTACCGTGATCTGGTGCAAAACTTTCTAGTTCCTCAAATCCAACAATTTAACCTGTAAAACGTGTGGTTCCAGCAGGACGGAGCGGCTTGTCACACAGCTAGGGAAGCAATGTATCTTTTGCGAACAAACCAAATACTGTAAAGCAGCTGAAAAACAATATTACGGAAGCGATAGAAAATATTCCTCCCGAAACCTACCAAAAAGTGATGGAAAGTGTAATCAATAGGGCTCAGGTTTTCTGATATTATTTTCCATACATACTAAGTTTCAATAAAAGATTCCAGTCAGTTACATATCGGCCACCCTGTATAATTGCTGCTCATGAATCATGTCATCGTTGATTATTACAAGAAATTGAAACAGAATTATTTTAGTTTCTAGTTTTTGTATTCCGGTTCAGTTCTACTTAATGACGTTTCAAATCAGCAATTTGTACTGTGATTGTTTTTCTCTTGTTAGAAATAACCATGATGATGATTTACGGTTACGTGTCTCTCATCTAAAATAGACGGTGTCTCCAAAAGAAAAAAGAAATGATGAAGATGGTGGTCGAGTAACATTATATTTCGCGGGTTCTTTAAATTACACGAGCTTTCCACAGAAGGTCAGGTATCTTGCTTCTCTGAAAGGCGTTCTATTCCCATCTAACAGTGCCTGAATTATATCCCTATGTATCTTTAGAATTATACAGGGTGTTTCAGTTTATTGTTGCATAACTTTAAGATTCGATAGAACTTTTAAAATTAATGCATAAAGTCTATATAAACATGGGTCGAAAAATGCGTGGCTTCCGAAATACAGGGTGTTTAAATTTACTTTCTAAAATAGTTTTTTTTTTAAATATTTCGAACAATATTTGATGTATAACAGTGAAAACTGATTTACAAGGGTTTTTTGGTACGACAAAACGAACCATGGGCATAGTTTTATTGCAGCCGCTAGAGGGCGCTCTCTACTGTACCTGTAGTGTATTAAAATGACCGAAAAATTCTTCTTAGTGCAATTTTTTGCTTTTTGAATAAAAAAACTGATTCTTCGCACTTTTCAACATAAAAAAGCTCTCTTGTCAATTTACGTTATAGCTAGCCGTTTTAGAGATATTTCGATTTTTAAGGTTTCGCATTTTTAATTATTTATGATAAAATAACGTTAAAAAGTCAGTATCTCGGTAACTTCTAGAAGTAGGCTGTGCCTGCAAATATTTTTGAAATTGAAAGCAGAATAAGGTTAAACGTCAATTAGTTGACAGATAGTTTTGTTGTCTGTTGAAACCTGAAACGTTTTTTTTTGCAATTGTGGATGCACGAAATTTAGTTTCTTTTACCTGTTTTTTGTAAGTTTTATAAAAATGCCATTTTTATTCTCCAATCAAGAGTTAGCGGATATTCATTTGTGTATGGCTTTGTAAATGGAAACGCAGCAGAAGCAGCCAGAGAATACGCACCAAAATTTCCAAACAGACGACATCCAACTCGCTCAGTATTTGTAAGAGTGCTTCGCCAAATAATTGAAAATGGTTTTGGAAATCTCCAAGGGGATCAAAACATAAATGTTCGTCAGCGCAGATTTACCTGTATGATTCTGCGTGAGTTTGATAGAGATCCGACCACAAGTGTTAGGAGAGTTTCTGGTGCCTTGGGAATTTCAGCAAGCCATGTTCACCGTGTTCTTAGAAATGACCATAGACGTCCTTACAATTTGCAACCTGTGCAAGGACTACAGCCAGGGGACGCAGAACGAAGAATCACATTTTGTCAGTGGATTCTTGATAGAACTGATAATAATAGGAAGTTTTTAAGTAACGTTTTATGGACCGATGAGTCATGCTTCACTAGACGTGGAGTGGTAAATTTTCATAATCAA